CGTTTTTTGGTTTAAAAATATGCTTTGGTATCGTGATTCGCTGAGCTACCACCGTAAGTTGCGGTGATTGGCTCTCCGAGTGTTGTGCGGAAAAGTAGATGCACGTTGTTTTCTTTATAGTGCACATCGTATTCAGCTTCTGTCCAGGCGCAGCCGACGCTACGAGCTGATGGGTCAAATCAAGGAGCATCAGAAGCTCGTCACTTCGCCTTTGTGTTTACGATTAGTTCAGCGATGATAGAACACGCACAGATGCATGACCAACACCATGACGGTGCGCTTTTGACGCTGTCTGGTTGGTCCCATCAACTCGTAGCGTTGGCTGCGTCTGCACTCCAAGGGGCAGGGAAGGAGATTCTGGGACCGTCTGTTCTTGGTCAGTACTGATTCTACGGGCCCTAACCATCCTAATAATTCCGAAATTACAAGCAAGCCGCGTTGATTTACATATTCAAAACGTAAGGAAAGGTCGGGAGCCACCACTTTGTAAGCGGATTTGTTGCGCTCAGGTAAGGTGGGGCCCCAGCAGCGGTGTCAGTGCCGTGACGATGGGCGCTCGTCGCCCAATCGCAAGCCTCCTCTCAATCGCAAGTGATTGGCAGACGCTGACGATCGGCCGACGAGCGCCCATCGTCACCGCGCTGACACCGCGTTTGGGCTATTCCCCGCCTTTCGTGAGCGGAACAATTCGCTCGGAAAGAGGTGTTGCCCGACCTTCCATCACATTGTTAATAGACCAATTGGCGTCTCGCAATTGTAATTGTTTTTTTTAATACTTTAAAGGTGCTTAGGGCTTGTAGAATCAGTTATGACCAAGAACAGACGATCGCAGAATCTTTTTTAGTGTCTCTTTAAGGTGGAACGAAGTATAGGCTGGTTGAAGGTGGCTGTGCATCCCCAGTTGTTTTCATTCCAAGCGTCTATTTATTTTTTTATTTATTTATTTTATACCCTCAGGGCCCGGAAGCATTAAAGAAGGGAGGGGCCAAGAACAACAACACAATATAGAGTATAAGAAATTCAAGTACAAAAATGCAGTAAACATGGGTGCTGAAGGATAAACAAATATTCTTCGCTATCGTAATTCTAAACGAGTCGATTGATGATATGGACACTGAAGATGCGGGAAGGCGATTCCATTCGGGTGACATTTGGGGACAGGAGAGTCGAGGTGGTCATTGCTGGGACGGCGATGAATTCTGACTTTGAATTGATGATCAGAGAGCGGGGAGTATACGGAGGAGTAAGTAAAAACTTATCTTTTACGGTAGGGTAAGAGTAATACATTCTGAGAAAAAGACATAAACCAGATAATTTACGACACAACAAAAAAAGGGGAAGAGATAGGTTAGCTTTCATGGACGACACACTGGCTGTACGGTGATAGTCAGAAAAAATAAAACGCGCACCGCAATTTTGGACAGCCTGGAGGTTAAGCGGGAGCATAGAGTGACAGGGATCCCAGATGAATGAAGCGCATTCAAATTCAGAACGTACTAGCGTTTTAAATAATAGTAACAAAGTAACCGAGCATAGAGTTGGCGTTAGCAATTATCAGGTAAATGTGAATTTGCTGTAAGATGTTAAAGGTAATGGGGACACCGAAATATTTGTAGTATGTAACAAACTGCAGGGGAGAGGTACCGAGATAGTATGACAATGGCGATGTGTTACGTCAAGATACTCACATAGTTTTACATTTGTAAGTGTTAAGAGTCATACACCCTACGTTGTGCCGTTCCATAGCTGAGTTTAAATCAGCCTGAAGAGAATCAAATTCTTTAGCAACTTGGCGATTGACAACACAGTCGCCCGCAAGGAAACTGACAGAAAATGAAAGATTTTAGTTAAATAATTCATGTAAATATGAAATAGCACTGGGCCTAAAACAGAACCTTGGTGGACACCTGAGATGACAGGACTGAGGTGAGAAGTAGCTTGGTTCGTAGTGACAAACTGAGAAAGATTTATTAGAAAACATTTAATCCAGGATAAGGCACTGGGATCAAGGTTAATTTGGTCAAGTTTGAAAAGTAAAAGCTTCTGGGAAACCTTGTCGAATCCCTCCGCAGGCAGAAATAACTTGTCTACTTTATAAGGCGTGTTTTAGGCTTTACATATTTGTTTCACAAAAGCCGTCAGTGCTCCATTCACACGGTTTGTGCAGATGAGTTACGGCCAGGGAAACTTGATATGCGGGGCTAATCGTCACGAGAAGTGAAACGATTGACTAAACTTTGTTAACGTCCTTTTGACTAGTGAAAATAGGTTCCAATTAAATTGAACTGAATTGATGGTTTTTGATGAGGTACGTCTCTAACATTGGAAACATATGTTTTGTTTCACTAATTGCAATGTTGACTGAGATAGTTAATTAGCCGACTTATTGTGACAAGTATAGTATGTCCGCCTGGACGAAGAATTCACCTGAACAAATGGCATCGGTGTAGCTTTGACGGACTTTTTAAAAACTAATCCGTAAAGCCTGAAGAAACCCTCTGTATATTCCGCAGTACGCCAGCATTCTGAGAACCATAGTGACCGGTTTGAACAGCCTCTGGATACCCGATAACTCAAACCCAAGTCGGTCGGTAAGGACATAATCAGAGTTTCTTCTGTAAACTTTTTATGATTTTGAACGAATGCATAGCTAATAATATAAATGTACGAATATTATCTTAATTTACCTATACTTTTAGTCCTAATAATTGAAACAAGTAGTGTGAGATGTCGAAATGCTGTTGGGGTTCGAAAATACACTAAAACCATCGCATTGAAAAAAATTTCCATCTTTAATAATTTTAAGGCATACATTAACTAAAATAACCCCGTCGTCTCGATCAGTGATGCCCCTTTGGAACATCAACTCTTAAATCTCTACAATATGTTCTCACTTTAAAAGGGAGCTTGAACCATGCAGAATGAATAACCTGTGCTACTTCAGTACCACATGTTATGTGAAAAGGGACCCCTTGATACCTTTATACATAAAATGTCTCCCTCAGTGTAAACTGTCATGTTGTGTTTTTCTATTCATGTTTGCCCCTTTTACTGGACATATGTCTAATTCCCGACTGGCTCAAGTTTCCATTTCATGTAAACTATTATGACTACAAACATTTGGACCTGTCTCGTGGATATAAAAATTATTCGGGACAAGTTACATATTGTGATATCAACTATTATAACTGTAGGCTTTCCTTCGTAGAAGCAGTATTTGTTCCAAAGGAGCACAAGAGGTGGGGCCCATGTGGGCCCCACGTAGGCAAGGGGGACAGCCCCTACAAAACTCACGTTGGTCCCACTTGGGCGAAGCGTGAACATGCCCAATATGGGCTGCCCACGCAGTGCCGCGGGGGGTCCAACCTCCGGCATGCGAGGGAACATTTGGGCACACAGTGGGCATGCCCACCTTTGGCTGCCGAAGCAATACCCGTACCACCTCGGCTAGACAAGGGCCATCTTTACGAAGATGGGATGGGTCTCTATGGCGGCAAAGCGTGGGCATACCCAACTTGGGCTACCCATATAAAACCTCCATGGGACCCACCTCGGCTCTGAAGGGGCCAAGTTACACACGGCAGGCCTCACTTGGACTACCTGTGCAAATCCCAACACAGTACTTTCCGCTAGTTTTCAGAACATTTACTGCACCTTCTCTAAATTCGGCATCAGAGATTTGCTCAATTTTTACACCGAACCACCAAGGATTGTAATTCTAAGCGTGAGCGAGGCTTGCTAAACTTTATTACTAACTTACTACTCAGGGTGTATGTTGAGAAGGCTGTATTACGGAGGGGGGGAGGGGGGGGGGGTTAAGCAGAGCATTGAATTTGAAGGTGAATTCAAAACATTCTCGACCGAATGTCGTATCTCTTCTAAACTTCTGTGTTTGTAGACGGACGACTCAACCTGGTCATGTATCCCGATTTTCTGTCCAACAGTATTTTATATGGAAGTGCACAAACTTTTTTTTCTCCATTTTCTACAGTGGAAATGTCCAATTTTATGGCCTTGCTCAAGTTGTTGATTGATTTATCAAAATGGTAATATTTCTAGTAGGCCCACGGGTAAAGTGAGGCATGCTCAACTTGGTATGCACTGCACGACTTCAAACAGTGCGGAAAATATGAAATGACCCCGAACGAAATGATATTCCCGGGGCTGCCCACGTGGAACCCCCGTCGCCCCCCCCCTCCCCCCCCCCCCCCCCCCCCCCCACCCCTTTTGGAGCCCCTTTGTGCTACTTGGGTGAGTAGTTTTTTTTAAGAAACTCGAAGTTAAATCCATTTACATCCTATGAATAAGGTAACTTCAACGGAAATAGATTTCATTGGTAGTCGACCGGCACTCTTCATTAAAGGGTTATTTATATTGCTAATATTTGAGACGGCCTGAAAAACAAATAATCTTTCCATCGGCACATGCGTCACTGGGTAGGCTATCACCATCTGATAACCTAAGTGACACTGCAAAAGCTCTTTTTTTTCTTAATAGTTCTCCGAACATTTAATGGCTTGTTCGTCGACATCTATGGTGGTCTATGTGGAAAATAATTTGATGTTGCATGTTTGATTGCTTTTTTGTGTGCTTCTCCGGCACACCGCTACGCGGCCCAGAGAAGCTCATAGACCGACACGCGGCGCGGCTCTGTTCACCAACACGGCCAGAAAGCCGCGCATGCGCAGATGCTATCTGGGCAGAAGCTGCCAGGCTCTCCTTGTTTTCGCCATTGCGTTGTGTGGCGTGCGCTCGCTGTTGGCGTGGTCGAGACGCTGCTAGCTTTCTTTGTGCGTCGTATTTCTTGCCAACGTATGTCGTATGCCAAGCCCAACTATTTGAGCTCGCTACCCGAGCCTGAACGGCAGTGGTGAGACAAACTATGCGTGGATGGCGTACTTTCGACGATCCACACACCGTGGACAAGGCCTGCTAGAGTTCCGACGTGAAGTTTCTGGATCCGACGTCGATGGCTCAGGTTGTCGTTTATTTAGTTTTATCGCGAAGCCAGTTCACGCCGACACGGTGCAGGCGTAGAAGTCTCTCGACGCAGTTTCCGCGCTGCGGCGAGATCAGCAGTCTGCGGGTTTGTGAAAGCTCATTTATTAATTGATTAAATACACACAGTGTCCTTCAAGACAAGGCATAGTATTTTGCTTACCGTCATGACCACAAGGCACGACAAGCGGTAACGCTTTGTTCGTTTTGCCGCCGATCTCCTTCCGCCTGATAGCACGGGCGTATAGCCACCGACGAGCGCTTGGCCAGTGCTTTGTGCGCGAACACCGGGGGAACAAAACCTGGGTGGTCTCGATCAGAGGACGGTTTCCCTGCACATAAGCAAGTCTTGGGACAGAGATTGAAATGGAAGCCACACTTGCCTTCAAAAACGTGCTTGCCGCACAAACGGTCGTCCGCGCGTAGCGACCATTCCTCTCGATCCAGGGATATTATAAACCTTCTGCTCCTTTCCGAGTGCGCCAGGAACTTGTGGAAATTCAGTCAGCTACTTTGCTGTACCTTTTGGTGCAATTAACGGCTACACAGATTTTCGGCCTGCTGAAATGCTATGACGCCCATTCAAAACGTGCGCCCTTCTGCCCACACCACTCTGCTTCGGCGCAATCGCAGCGCCGACGCGGATCCGTGATGTCAAGCCCGCGTGTCAGTCTATAGAAGGAACACTCTACGGTACAGGTGCCTCTTGTATTTGAGAGTCGTTCCAGGGCCCTCGTGAACCCTTGTGACCGGGTTTTTGCAAGGATCTTTCTTAAAGGTATGTATTTGTTAGGTAGTAACATAAACTTATGCTTAACCCAGTTCCACCTCTCTTCAACGGAACGCCCCAAATCGTGTGCCCAATACTGGACCAACAATTGCAAGTATATTGTGTTATTCTAATTAAAGTTAGCTTTCACTATTATCTCGTATTTGCTTTGTTAGTGAAGTGGTCCTTGCCACTGATGCATTTAAAAGAAAATGCAGTACAATATGATCGCTTATCGCTGGTAGATATCACCGTCATTATCATGATTATTTATTCCCTTGGGGACCCGCCAGGGCTATACGCAAAGAGTGTGCATGCATATAGATATATAAATATAAAACACAACAAGCGCACCACTAACTCAACACTAAAACTAGGGTTCCGCGTTTTCGGTTTCTATTTTTTTCAAAATTCGGCGTACTTTTTTTGGTGTTTATTTTAAAATTCAATTTTCGTTTTTTTTCGGCGTATATTTATGCCCTCAAAATTTTATCGGTGTTTTTCAGTGAATATACAATAAACACCAACGGTCACCGGATCAGATGATTCTTGTAGCTCTGATATTTTTGATCATTCAAAGAATAACGGCACAGATACATTGAAAAAGAAATGGACACTTTATTTGGCGAATGGGTGCAACTGTAAAAGAAACAAGAAGAAAACAGAAATACAGACAAGTAAAATATAAAGCCTATTTCCAAAAAAAAAAAAATGGAACTTTACCGTTTGTACGTCAGGATTACGTGATCTTATTATAGTACACACACATGTACATTCCTAAGTTCTCCTCGTTGATCCGCACTCTTTCTTCCCTGTTAATATAACCCTGAGCTTCGAGAATGCCCTCACAACGGCCTCAGCCTGCCAGGCCACTGGACACTGGCAGGCTGAGGACATGAAGAGCTGCCTGAGCCAAAATTGGCCCATCAACCAATTGTGACCACCAAAAGACACACGGTGCGACGTATTGAAGCACAACATAACATGCAGAGCTTGAATCAAGTCAGTCTTCTTCACAACGAGTTAAAAAACACGCTTGTATATGGGGAGTCAGGGGGCATTTCAGTCTTCACGTTCGGATCGATGATGCGGCACACTCAAACCAAGACGTCGTGATGGCATCCGTGTATCCCATAAATTCGGGCACATTTCGATAGACACTGTCGTTCCATTTTTTTCGCCACAGCTCTGCGGTACGACTGGAAGGTCAAGGTGAGCTTTTCCGGTTAAAACTGAATTTTAGAAAATGAATGCGACGTATATTTATCGGTTTCAATCGAAAATGCCGAGCCTAAAAACTGACCTTTTTCGGTTAAAACCGAATTTCCGAAAATGGATTCGGCGTACTTTTATCGGTTTTTATCGGTTTAAACCGAAAACGCCGAACCCTAACTAAAACACACTAGTCTAATATGTAATAATCCTTGGATGTTTAGGGTGACCGGTCGAAATAAGGTCTAAAACAATCGTTGTTAGTGGTGTCACAGTGGTGGGACGAAGAACTAATTGCGAAAAGATTAAGCCTAAACTTAAGTTAACAGACGCATTTTTTTTCTTCGTGGTTCACTCATTCAATGACTGTGACTTCAACATCGTAGGGAGGGAAAGTTAAAGTCGCCGAGAAGAACGATTGGCGCACTGGGAAAGCTATTGTCTTTATTTAATGATGATAAATGATGGTGGCCGGTAGCAAATGAGCAATACCATTGGCCGGTATCATTGTTGCGAAGTGGGGCAAACTAATAAAAAAAATACTAAACTCTATGTAAAACGATAAACTACTTGAAAGAAAAGAAATATTAGGTTCGGACCGGTGACATGTGATAGGTCCACGCCCGATACGAAGTTAAAAGGAGGTGGAGATGAACGTAGAGGTAAAAAATCAAGAGAAAGAAAGCAAACAAAAAGTTTATTGACAGCGATAAATAGCCGCGCATGGCGACAAAATGAAATCGACAGACAAAACGCTAAACCACAAAAAAAAAAAAAAAAAAAAAAAAAAACTACAGATTTTTGTGCATCTGGGCCACGAAGAAACTAAAAATGATAAATGAAATCCGAACCCAAACGCAGCCAAACTGCTACTCTAAATGCTCGGCAAAGTTCAACACAAATGCGGCCATGAACTCGCGTTCGCCGGCGGAAATGAGAATAGCAAAAAGAAGAAAATATTAACGGTAGTTTTGCAAGTCTAGGGGTACGTTTGAAGGCTCACCGAAGCTGGGCTGAGGTCAGGTCCAGAGGATCATTCATCGTCGTCGCCGAGGGGTGTCGACGACACTTCACAGCTCGCGCATGCACTCACCCTGCCAATAAAGGAAAAAATAAACACCCGTAGGGCAAAAGCACACCACAAGGCAAACACGTCCCTCAAGGCAACATGCGGAAATGGCAAGAACTAGGGCCTCAACCCTGAAAGCGAAAGAATTAGTACTCACGACGTGAGCAGCGGGCCAATGTCCGCTCTTACTCTGTCTATCCCTCCAAGACCCAGCGCTTATCATCATCATCATCATCATCATTTATTATTCCTTGAAGGCCCAGGGGGCATTATACAAGGGAGTGAACACTTAAAAAAAAAATAACACTATTTCTCTACAAAAACACGCTGTAATCTAGTTATGGGTTAGAAAAACTAAGCTAAAGGGTGCAGAAAATTTCTTAGTGTCAGATAAGGAAGCAATTACGTCAGGCAGTTAGTTCCAGTCGTCAATGGCCAATGCTAAAGCCGACATTTGGTGAGTGACGGTCGACGATGAAATTGGACGGAGTTTACACGAATGGTCGAGACGAGGGAAAATGCGGTAAGGAGGTGATAGCAAACTTTGTCCGAGATGACTGTTGTATGTTGTAAGAAAAGATTCGATGAAGAATAGAAAGGCGAGACACCCTGCGGCGGTGAAAAAGAGTGTCAAGGTTAGCTTATTGGCGAAATACTGACATGCTTGCGTGAGGAGAATAGTCGGAATAAATAAAACGGAGGGCTCTGCTTTGAACGGATTCCAGGTTGTTAGTTAGGTACGTCTGCCACGGTGACCATATGGAAGAAGCGAATTTTAGTTTAGTTCTGACCAAGGTAGTATAAGCTAGTGGTTTTACGGGGGATGTAGCTTGTCTGAGGTTACGGTTATAGTCAACCCTTGCAGGCTCGCAATGAGGAATATCCTGAAGTGACGACAACCTTTCGAGAACTCCAACCCTCCCAACCCCCCCCCCCCCCCCCCCCCCTTTTCTTAAAACAAGAAAGACGACATAATCTATCGTCAAGGTTACTCGATCCTCCAGTATATCCTTATAAAGTGAAAGGATTAAAAGATTACCCAAAAGCCTTAATATGAAAACCGCAAACGCATCAATCAGTCCCCGAGAACTGGCCGGAAAAGCCCAAAGCCGCGAAAAGCCCAAGTTACCCCGAGGGTAGTGCCCGTATTGGAGAGTTCACCACAGGATTAAAAGCTTAAAAAAACCTGGTGCAACCCGTCATCGAGCGAGAAACGAAACAGAGGGGTGCGTCTTGAACCACACAAAAAATGAGAATAGTCAAACACTGTTGCATTCCGTGACAAGCATACTCCTAAGATGCACTTTTTATGGTTAACTCGAGGGCAAACCCAGGCTATGCCTTAATTGAGATGCCGGGTTTTGATCCAAAAAAAAATTCAATACGGTAAGTAATTCCAATAAGCGCTCCACCGCCTCAATATCTGTCATGTCTGTCATTCCTGTACGCATTGTATTTTTGTAACCATCGAACAGTTTACTGTCCCGTACCTTCCGAGGAAACAACGTTTCGGTTAGGACGGGAGTATGAATATCAGTAGTGTAAATAACCGAACACAATTCCTCACGTTTGTTCAGTGAATTTCTTATGTTGGGGTGCATAATTTAAATATCGGAAAAAATATGGCGGGCCTGCTCTGTCTCACGGTAAATCGTAGCTTGACGAACGAGTCAGTGATTAACTTTGAATTGTTGATGACTATCTGAGAGACAGTTGGCTGTGGGGGGGGGGGCGAGGACGAGCGACAAACGAGACGGACGTAGCTCACAGCCCTTACCAGTTTCAAGTCAAGTCAAATTTGGGGGTTTTACTATGGTGCCTGAATCGCGTCTTTGACAGGTGTGTTTACCGCGGCCAAAAAAGTGGTCCCTCGATTTCCGCCTGATGACGTCATAAAAGTGTCATGCTGTCGCCGGTCGCGACCCTGGCGGCGTTCCAACAGTTATGGTGTATGTAGCAGATGCCTGTTCTGCTGCAGGTCTCTTTCCACTGTGACAGTTCACGGAAGTTAATGCAGCCGGAAGTTGGGACGCCTAATGGGACGCCGTGACGACAGCGACACTCGCGTTCGCTCGTGCTTTTCGCCAGCATTTCTACGGCCAACCGCCAGGATCGCGACAGGCAACAGCATGACACTCGCGTCATTTGTTGCCATATCGGGACCACTTTTGATGTATGGGCGGGATAGGACGCTAAACACACCAGTCGAAGACGCGCTCCAGGCACCATAGTTTTACCTGCCAAACCAATCGCTCTAAGAAATGTGGGGTGTACAGGTGTACTCCCCTTGCCCCATATGTAACTCCCCAAAACTAGATTTTTTCGTTCTGTCCACCGACGTCGAGCTGGCGATACCAACTTTTACAAGCGGCTTGATAGCTGTTGGATATTACGCACTAAATCAAAGACTTAAAAAATTACTGAGGTTTTGCAGCAGGGCCGCAAAAACCTTGATTGTCTTAATGTAACTTTTAATTAATACATTAGCTCTTTTCATAAGTTGTATCGCTCGACTATCAAGCCGCTCGTCAACGTTGGTATCGCCAGCTCGTCGTCAGTGGCCGGAACAACGAATGGTAGTTTTGGAGAGTGACATATGGGAGAAGGGGAGTACCCCTGTACACCTCCTATTTCTTAGAGTGACGAAGGGAATGTGGCACGGCGCACGAAGGACTAATGATTTAATTTCGACCACCTGGGCATCTTTCGACGTACTACCCAAATCTCGATAACACAGCGCCTTCTCTGCCACAAACTCGCAGACTAGTATAGCAAAACGTTAACAAAGGACACCGAAGACTATTTTCCGCTGAGATACGAGCTTCTACTGCCCTCCGCTCAGCGGCTCTACTGAGAAAAATACTTTAATTATTCCACTTTTTTTTTTGTGAACCACATCTTTAGCTGAAAATTGTGATGTTTTTTTTTAGAATATTTCAGGTCTTTAGCGTGTTGAAAATGTGCTTTTTATACTCTATGTCAGATAAACCAGAGAATCTATGATGCCGACCGAGCGTTCATGCGTCTCACTGGTCCCGCGTGGTCGCATGCAGACTCGTCGCAGGCAGCCGGGTGACTCATGAACGCCGGCATGCTGACCGCCTGCTCGTCGTAACTTTCAGGAAAGAGTTTTCTACGCAGTAGCTTCGGTCAGCTTGTCTTCCCTCGAGTAGGGTCGCTAAACTCGTGGACACAAAGATTCTTTGCGTTATGACGTAGTGGGGGGAGTGACCGAAAGAGCGCCGCAAAGTTGTCTTTTCTCACAAACCCGCAGATCAGTTGATCTTCGAGACGTTTTTCAATTCAAGGGGCGAAAACTCCCTAGTACTCCCTAGACGCCGAACAAGAGCAGCACGAGAGAGCGCGCAGAGACGACCGTGGTTCATACGTGTGGCGTCACAACAAAGATCACCAGCTGCGACCAACGTTTTTGACCGGCTTCAAAACGCATGGCGCAGGCTTGCGGTAATTGCATTGTAAAATCAAGGCCGTCAAAATTGACAGTCCGATATCGTTCTTATTTCTACTGATAAAGCAGAAGCAAAAGACTACAAGAACGTCGGAGTGCTTGGCTTTTCAAGATTAGTAAAACTGGGATTAATTCTGCTTTCATCATCAGAAACAAGAGCAAATGGTTCACAAAGAAAGAATAAAACGTTGAAATGGGCGGGCAGACACTCGCATATTTTTAATGGGTCTCTGATATTTTTTTAAGGACTTCGTCTTTTGTTTTTCGTCCATTTTAGTAGTTTATTGTTTCTGTGTGGAGTCTATCCAACGCGCGCTGCTACGTGTAAATAAGAGAAATGTCAGGCTGTCAATATCAACGGGGATGTTTTAAGAACACGATGACTCCAAGGCTCTATAGTAAACAATCAAACCTGTACCCGTCACTTCGAACATGCACCATAGCATTTGTGGTTCACAGCTGATAATATTGAGTCTGACGTCAGCTAATAATCTTGTGCCTGAACACGCACCTGCACACAACGAGCCCTGGCACGAGCCTCTCACTTTGGCCTGGCATGGCCGCTCGTAAGTGCATGGAGCGCCAACCGTATTAATTCCAGAACCTCTATACCCATCATTTCGAAAATAGCACGCTACTCTGTTCCTTGTCGTCTCTCAGTTGGAACACCTCCAAGCAGGTCCGTCGAAACGAAGGGGTGGGGAGCGGGCAATTTATCCCCCCCCTCCCCAAGTTTCGTGAAAAGAGGAGGCAAGGGGCATAAAGGTAGAAGTGTGTGGGGGGGGGGGGGGGGGGGAGGCGATCGCCTCAGCCGACGTTTCAGAAAGGTACAACAAAATATTCGGGGGAAGGCATGTACCCCATTAATACAACCCCCCCTCCCCCCTTCCCCAGTCTCTCTCTCTCTCTCTCTCCCGAACAGTTTCTACGGCACGTCCTTGCCCCGAATTTTGTGTCGATGAGTGTGTGTTGGTCGTACCCATTTTTATTTTCCATTTTTTCGCCCCGGTTTTTTTCCCGGCAACCCCCGTCGCCCCCTCATCTGTCATAGACTACCGACGTCACTACCCACACCGCCTCTCCGTTGCCCCGGTTACGTGGTTGACAGTGCCGTAAGCTGAGCTCTAAAATCGCGTACACCGCGCGCGGCTACACAATATCACAAAGTTCAAGCTTCGTCTCGATTCCCAGGCGAAGATTTTGGCCTCAAATTTAACTCCGTCCCAAAGTGGTGTTCAAGTTCAGAATATTCACAGTCCGCCTAGGCAGAATCTTGACAGCATTGACTCATACGCGGCGTAGGGATGTGGGGACACGCGGGAGCGACGTCATCAGTTCAGCCGTTCAATCGGCTGGCCCCACGGTGTTGCTCGCGCGCGCACTGATGAAGCTCGCTGGGACTTCGTGTTTCTCAATCTCTCTCGAATTGGAGCAGCGGGAGAGTTTGGTTGATTGACACCTCGTCTCGCGTGACGCCACCGTCGCGAGACTCCAATCAGCCCGCTCCGCGAACTTCGGCCCCAACTTTGTGTTTGATGAGTTTAGCGACCGAGGAG